CTTTTATTTTCGTCTAAGGATTTACATTTTTTTGTTTATTATGGGGTATTTGGCCACGAGAAATCGATTGGAGTTGGTCACAAGGCTGGGAAACATCCAGTTTCTACCCTACAGCCCTTGAGTGCTCATGTTAATACCTTTTTGTAGCTGCAGTTAATATAACTGCTGATACAGGTAGTTTTTATTGCAAATGTATTTATAAAGGTGTATTAAAATGTTTCCTTTGAATCATCAAAGATTTGTTCACATTGATTACCGTACATAATAAACATTTTTATGCTAAATAACTTATCTCATAAATGTAATGCCTAATTCAATCCGAGCAAAGCTGTCTGGTGGTATTAAATAAATTAAACACATTTCTTCATACTTTCCAACAATATAGTATCATTTTATGTGCTACAGCTCTCATTTTTGTTGTCCAAAGATTGGTCGGGTAACATAAATCGGTGTTGCAATGACGAGTGACATCAAGATCCAGATACGGCCCAGGTTCAAATCAGCAAATTGAAAACAATTTCACGTTATTGAAATATGAAATACAGTACTAAAGATTAATCTACGGCTACTTAAACAAGAAAAGAATACTTTATTGATTCGTAAGACTCATTTTGGATGGAATTAGTTTGAAACAGCCCTACATACAGCCGGACGTTGGTTCTTGTAGTAAAGTAAATTAAAGTGGTTCGTACAATGGAGTAATATTTTACGGTTGGTTCTCACAATAATTTTTGCTAAGTGTCACAGCTAAGTGTCTGACGTATGCTCTCAGCGAGCAGGGACTTTAAAAGAAGTGGCGCAAGTCGCCACAGTCAACAAGACTTGGACTTTGACTTGGAAGTGTTCAAAAATTATTTTTCATGTCGGTTCTCGTAGTAAAGTTGGACTCTGACGTTGGTTCTCGTGGTGAAGTTCGACTCTGACGTTGGTTCTCGTGGTGAAGTTTGACTCTGACATTGGTTCTCGTGGTAAAGTTGGACTCTGACGTTGGTTCTCGTGGTAAATTTGGACTCTGACGTTGGTTCTCGTGGTAAAGTTCGACTCTGACGTTGGCTCTCGTAGTAAAGTTCGACTCTGACGTTGGTTTCCGTGGTAAAGTTCGACTCTGACGTTGGCTCTCGTTGTAAAGTTCGACTCTGACGTTGGTTCTCGTTGTAAAGTTCGACTCTGACGTTGGTTCTCGTTGTAAAGTTCGACTCTGACGTTGGTTCTCGTTGTAAAGTTCGACTCTGACGTTGGTTCTCGTTGTAAAGTTCGACTCTGACGTTGGTTCTCGTTGTAAAGTTCGACTCTGACGTTGGTTCTCGTTGTAAAGTTCGACTCTGACGTTGGTTCTCGTTGTAAAGTTCGACTCTGACGTTGGTTCTCGTTGTAAAGTTCGACTCTGACGTTGGCTCTCGTTGTAAAGTTCGTCTCTGACGTTGGTTCTCGTTGTAAAGTTCGACTCTGACGTTGGCTCTCGTGGTAAAGTTCGACTCTGACGTTGGTTCTCGTTGTAAAGTTCGACTCTGACGTTGGTTCTCGTTGTAAAGTTCGACTCTGACGTTGGTTCTCGTTGTAAAGTTCGACTCTGACGTTGGTTCTCGTTGTAAAGTTCGACTCTGACGTTGGTTTCCGTGGTAAAGTTCAACTCTGACGTTGGTTCTCGTGGTAGAGTTCAACTCTGACGTCGGTTCTCGTGGTAAAGTTGGACTCTGACGTTGGTTCTCGTGGTAAAGTTGGACTCTGACGTTGGTTCTCGTGGTAAAGTTGGACTCTGACGTTGGTTCTCGTGGTAAAGTTACACTCTGACGTTGGTTCTCGTGGTAAAGTTGGACTCTGACGTTGGTTCTCGTGGTAAAGTTGGACTCTGACGTCGGTTCTCGTGGTAAAGTTGGACTCTGACGTTGGTTCTCGTGGTAAAGTTGGACTCTGACGTAGGTTCTCGTGGTAAAGTTGGACTCTGACGTTGGTTCTCGTGGTAAAGTTGGACTCTGACGTTGGTTCTCGTGGTAAAGTTGGACTCTGACGTCGGTTCTCGTGGTAAAGTTGGACTCTGACGTCGGTTCTCGTGGTAAAGTTGGACTCTGACGTTGGTTCTCGTGGTAAAGTTCGACTCTGACGTTGGTTCTCGTGGTAAAGTTCAACTCTGACGTTGGTTCTCGTGGTAAAGTTCAACTCTGACGTTGGTTCTCGTGGTAGAGTTGGACTCTGACGTTGGTTCTCGCAGTAGTAAGTTTCTCCCGGGTGGTGCAGCGGCCGGACAGGTGCGCCGTGCGGCTTTGCAAGTGGTACAACGCTAGCCTGGGGCAAGGCCGGATCAGCAACATTCCCGTTCGCTCTCTCCCTCTCCCGTCTCCTCTTTTCTCTCTCCTCTCTTTACGTATCTGTTTTCTTAATACACAAAGGTCAATAGTCATAAATTTCTATTAAAATGCTCTGTCCACCAAAACTGTTTATCCGCCACCTGTAACGTGAGGTATTTGTTTTGGGTTAATGTTTAATAGTATTTACATATTTTCTTGTATCTCTCTTTTGTATCTGTTTTCTTGATATTCTAAGATCAATAGCGGTAAATTGTTATAAGATAATCAAATATTTTTATTAATTTTGTTATAAATATTATGTTTACCAACCAGCAAAATAGGAACTGGCGTGTCGTGGGTTTTTTTTTTTAATTTTGACCCTTAAAACATAAATATTACCAATTTGCATTACCCCCATCAATCTGTGTAAATGTTTAAAAGCAAATCATTTTATATTGGAACGTTGTTGTGAAATTAAAGGTTACGGAGAAATTTCAAAAAATTGTATGGGTATTTAAAATTCCCAAATTTTTTTTATAGGGAAAAAAGTAAACTGTTGTAATATTCTTGTTATTGATACATTTTTGTCAACTTTGGCAATGATTTATTTCATACTATAACCATTAACTGTCAACATTCTACAACAACAAAAAACACTTGTATTCTCTGTAGTAACAAGCCTAATCTAAATAATATGATTGAATAGGGAATAAAATTGACAAGTTAAGAGAATATTTAGGTATAAATCCATAGAGAGGAATATAAATTCGCTTAGGTTTGCTGTGGTGGGGTTGTTTTATTTATTAGCCATTTTACAAACTTTAAAAGTCTACGTCCTAAAAGAACGATTTACCAGTAAAGTGTTGCTTGTTGCTTTCATTTCGTACCAATGAGTAAATTATTCATAATGTACTTAATAATATGAGAGCAACATTTAGCTTACACCAACACATCCAAATGTAATCAGTAATTTATTGTAACAAACGTCCACGTGGTAAAAACGCTTCAGACTGTACAATATGGTTATAAGTCTTCCTCTAACTAAATTCAATTCAGTAAAAATCACACTTTAAATTATCCCTCAGTGTTTCAGGAAATAGTTTGCAACAACTCAATACAAATCACAATAAAACTCCAGTTGCAGTATCCTTATTCCTAAGTCATTGAATTACTACTTCATGGAAGAAAGTCAAACATTTTTAAGAGAACCGTTACGCCGTCGACACGAGAGAAGGCTGTTGTAAACAGACTGTCGAGTTTGTTTGTCCAGCAGAAAAATCGGAACTGTTTGGAAAAGAAACGCTGATTGAGACTCCCGAGTGATTGGAGTGGCCGAAGTGATTGATATGATAATGTAAACCGCAGTCCGCTCCATAGCGAACCATTGATCACCTCCCGCTATCTGAGCAAAGTCTACTCTCTTGCTTTCACATGTCTTTCGTGGTAGGAATGTTGTTTTGGTTTAAAAAAATATCAGGTACAATTTAGGAAATCGCAGATGATATTCTTAGCGTCACATTTTATTCAAGGACATCCTAGGGCGCTAGGTTCTTTCCAAAAACTGTATTACAAATACAACAATTACAATTACAATTTCAATTACAATTTCTGTATTACAATTTCATAGGGTATGGCTAGTCCTAGAGGGTCCCGGAATTATATAGACCCATTGATTGGCGGGATTTGAACCCTGGACCTTGGGCTCAGAAGCCCCACTAAACCAGCTCACTCCCTAGATGATATTAAGATCGGTGGGTATTCTTGATTTGGGAAATTTAAAATTGTTTTAATTTGAAAGACAACTAGAAACGAATCTTCATGCAGTGTAAAGCATACATTAGATGTTATGCTAACGGGTTCCACGATTGCTGCGTAAGATTCTGACAAAAGACAGAGACAATGGTCTTCCTTGAAGCTCGAGACCATCCGACGCCCTGGGAACGCGTGCCTAGAGGACAGGGACCCTGGAGTTCCAGGAACCTTTGGAGTTCCAGGTTTCCTGGAGCAACCACCTTCACAGCTGTGTCTAGAGGAAGGATGAAATCATCCAGACAGGGTAACGAAATTCCTGCAATCTCAGTTGTTGGGAATCAAGAAAGAATTCATAAAAGCTATCTAGCAATAAAAATTTGTACGTACAGTTCAATTGGGATGAAAACTAAATTAAATATTATTTCCAGCAATAACAGAGTGTTTAACGTTTATTGATTACGAAAAGACTGGGATTGTAGTTTATATTCTACATAAGGTTTGGGAAACGCCAACACACAGGGTGAGGGAAGGCGAAGATGAAGGATGAATGTTGAAAGAATTAGATCGTAGCTTTGGCGTTTCTTTAGTCATTGAAAACATAAGGTCTAGGACAGCTAAGTCCAGTTTCCATCCATCCACAAGCAGTCAATGCAACATCTGCTAAATATTTGGGTCTCAACTAGACTTGTCTGCCTCTAGATTGCATTCGCTCTTGAACGGCGCTGCCAATCACTACACAACAAATTCCCAATAACCCTGCGTCAACTATGCTAAAATTCATATCAGCTGTTTGCCAGTGTGAATAAAGCAGGGCTGCCAATATATCAGCGTGTTTTGTCCCTGGGCAGTTAATCTATGTGGTACTTTTAAATTAGGTTGCGGTAAAACATCTCATTTGTGATCATGAGAGCCTTAATTAAACTTAAACAGGTCACATAGATTGATATTCTTTTTTTGTTCCAGAACGGCTATGTTGAATGTGCCAAGGAAAGATGTCTGGGTGCTGAAGGTTGCTATATGTTGCTGGACCATTCCAACGATGGCTGCTGCTACAAATGCAAGGGTAAGTATTTTCAGAGCTTTTTAGCTCTCTTCAGTTTATTCCCTCGTTTTTACTAGTAGTTCAGCTCTTTAATTCTTCAAACTCTCAGGAAAAGTTGCAAAAATGATTTTTGAATTTGACCTGTCTCCTTTCCGAGAAACTACGTAAAAATAATCTAGTACACACTCTATATTGCACTCATCCTATGCAATAATGTTGATTCAAGCGTTGTGAAAATGAACACCTTCTTGATTTCTGACGATGAAATTGATCAGTCATGATGCCAATAAACACTATTAAAGGATATTTAAACGGGAGAAGGAGCTAAAGACTTACAACACCAAACGCACAGGATTATCCAGTGTGTCTTTGACATATCCTTGTTGTCCCCAACGGCGACAACTGTCAAGCACAAACCCTGCACTTCATATCAGAATCTACCCCTCCCAGTCAAACTGTCCAACTACAGATTTTAGTATGGATGTATAAATTAAACGGTAAATGCTGATCAAGAGGCCTCCTTTAACATATCATGTGCCTACTGTTTCATACGAGTGTTAAAGTATTTTAACTTCTCTGATTTACGTAAAATCCACTCGGAGTAGAAAGGTTTAAGGAGGAAAAGTCAAAGCACATCAGTTATTGTCTTTGACGTTAATCATATAAAGTTGAAAATTGAACACGAAAGAGGATTAATCAAAATAAAAAAATTATATGAAACCAAAAATAATCGATTGGAAAATCTTTTTAAGGAAAACAAATATTTTGAACAGACATTGGGTTCTGGTGAGGACTCTCTCTAATCCACGAGTTGTACATCCCCATTAAGATGCTGGAACAAAAGCGAATCAAGAACAAAAGGAACAAACAAAGATGACTGGAATTTTTGTTTTGATTTGTTTGAGAACACCCTGTGAGGCCGGTTCTGTTGGAATAGTTAATATATGCAAATTACAATTAATATTCGTGTCCCGGCTCTCCGCATTCCTACCAAGGCAGACAGCCCGTCAGTGCCAAGATGGCCATAATGGCGTGGTATACGGTAACACAGTGTAATATTTCTTAATTTGTTCTCTTACGAATTTGGTGTCACACAAGATAATATCTAATCATGGTGGTAGATATCAACATAGTAAATATACACATTTTCCATAACCTAACCTAAGCATTTACTGCGTGCTAAAGAGATCTCCCAGCAATTGTTATCTAGGAGTACCTTAATATTCGTATAGGATTCAAATATCGTATTTAACATGTATACCAGCATAGAACATGCTATGAACTATTAACAAATAAACCCCTCTCCGTCAATCCAACCCAATCTAAAACTTATACTCAAAAACTAAATTAATGACAAAATTTTAAGCTAACAAAAGCCATCAGTGACACGATCATGTACAGTGTAGAAACTCTTGACCATAAGTAATTTTTGATTTGCCTTTTTAAGCTGCTCAAGTCCATCACCAGTTGGGAGGGAGGAAGTAAATTTAAATCATGGGGCTTTTTTAAAAGGTTTTTATTTCGAGTCCATCGTGATAATCAGCAAACAAGCGAACTTTACAAACTGATGGACTTACAACTGAAAGATCATTTACAAAGACAATAAATAACACCGGACCTAGGACTGACCCCTGAGGAACGCCACCGGACTATGTGTATAAGACGGCTCCGATATTAGGTTGAGATATTATCAATTGTGTATCATACCACTCTGTTAACGTTTGTTAAACCACAGTATTTGGCACATATCATTGCCTTGACCTAACTACTACCTAACCTAACCTAAGAAAAAACGCATTGTCTTTGCAAAGGTCCTTATGAAGTATTTTCATGTAATGTTTTCTTGTTTAACATTTAAACCACTATTTAACATCACAACGTTTTTACCATTCCCTTTATGAACCATAACCCGTCCTAACCAAAACATAACCTAACCCAACCTAACATTCGTTCAATGACGCTGACATGACGTATTTCCCTTCAAAGATTGACGCTTCTTCAGGTACGGAGTTCGATCCTCACCCAACTGAAGATTGATAACAGTGATAAAGGCCTCATGTCCAGCGGTTATCAAGGAAGCTGTGGCTGATAGCTTATCAACCACGCTCGCGCTACTTTACATATATTTTCGCACTTGCTATCTTCAAGGACACGACTTTGTCTATTTAAATTTTACATATTTATCAATGCAAGCCAAAATATGATTAATTGAAAGTATTCAATAACTCTTAGCTAGAAAACTAAACAGTGGTGTTTTTGTATGTGAAGAATTATTAAAACTTTTGCTAGGTTCCTGCATGCTTTCTAGTGTGGATTAAAAATATGCTTCAACTAATTCTAATAACAGCTTACGAGAAAAAATACAGCATAAAATTGAATGCTTATCTTGTCGACGAAAACATTTCGAACAAAACATGAGAACTACAGTATTATTTTTAATTGTAACATCAGATCCTTCGCCAAGAATGTTAAGGAAACCTCCCTTGGAATTAATTAAGTGTTTAAAGTTGATGTTCTGTTGTTTTAAAACCCTCCGGTTTTACCATACTATGAATACAAAACGTAAGTAGACCATTAATTGTTTAGTCCTCGATGAGAAAATTGCTAAAAGAAACCTTTTTGCAATTGTTGAAATGATTTATTATTATTTGCATACTATTTCATGTAGAAAATATATGAATTAAAATGGGGTTTCTCCTCAGTTTCCTTGAGAGAAAAATTTTTACAGCTTAACAATTCGTCAGTGGCTTAGTTAAAAGCTAGGTATTTTTTCTCTCACTTTTTAACGACGACTTTATCCTCAAAATGGGATCTTTAATTTACAATCGTGTATATTCTAAGGTTTGGAAAATTCGTTTTTTTATCATATAAATTATTTAATTCGATGTAACACAAACTCCAACATCATAATGCACATTTTATGTATCCACTCAGACTATTTACTTCGTGAGTGGTGAATCGAGTGAAAACAAACAACACGATAATCGAAAACAAGTTGATAATCACTACCTTGACCCAGCATCCCATCAGAGAGAAGAAAAAGAACAATCCGTGTGGTCGACCAAAGTTTATCCACTTCCAGCAAAACCTTTTACCGAGCGGCAGAAGCGCGGCGATAAAATGTAATTGGACAAAAGAGTTTTGCAGTGTTGTTACCAACGGGATTCGTGTTGAATTGTAGTGGGAAACGGTTTTGTGTTTGGGGGGAATTAGTCAATGACAACGCTTTTAGTTGATTATGTTTACGGGGGGGGGGGGGGGCCAGACTCAACAACCTTTGATTTTTTTTATACAGTAATCTTAAACACACTAAGGTTCATTCACTTATGGTAATTTCAAAGTAGCTACTAAGACGTATTATTTAAATATTTTTTACCGGTAAAGTTGATAAAATCATCTACTACTACGTACTGCGGAGCCATCATGGTTTTTATGCTTACTATAAAGGCTTGGAATATGGTAAAATGTTCATCTTAAAATAGTCTCATCTGGCCCAATTGGATTTATCAAATTTCCCCCTAAATGTGTGTTTTTTTGTTGTTTTTTTTTTTTTTTGTTAAAATTTACGCTAATAAACAATACACTTTGAACAGAAACATTCATTCTGTCGGTACAAGAAATTTAGCTGTTAACTCGAATATAAGACTGATTCGTCCGACCATAGTGAGTCTTGTAAGGGGAATCGTTCACTAAATTACTCATTTTTTCAGTTTCAGCTTTGACTATCAATTCAACTTCAGTATCCAATAGTCATTGGTTTCAGTTTCGAAGATAAAAGACTGATTAGTGATTTGTCAGTACTGATTCATCTGATTTTAGAAGTCGAACTAACTATCTTACCTTGCAAGTCTTGTAAGGGGAATCGTTCACTAAATTACTCATTTTCCTCCGTTTCAAATCTCGAAGATACAAGACTGTTTCGTCAGTAATGATTCGTTAGGAGTCAAACTATCCCACCTAGCAAGTCTTGTAAGGGAATTCGTTCACTAAATTACTCATTTTTCTTCGTTTTAAGTCTCAAAGATACAAGGCTGATTTGTCTGATTTTAGAAGTCGAACTAACTATCCCACCTTTCAAGTTTTGTAAGGGGAATCGTTCACCAAATTACTCATTTTCCTTCGTTTTAAGTCTCAGAGATATTCGTCAGTACTGATTCGTTAGGAGTCAAACTATCCCACCTAGCAAGTCTTGTAAGGGGAATCGTTCACTAAATTACTCATTTTCCTTCGTTTTAACTCTCAAAGATACATGACTGATTCGTCAGTACTGATTCATCTGATTTTAGAAGTCGAACTAACTATCCCACCTTGCAAGTCTTGTAAGGGGAATCGTTCACTTAATTACTCATTATTCATCAGTACTGATTCGTTAGGAGTCGAACTATACCACCTAGCAAGTCTTGTAAGGGGAATCGTTTACTAAATTACTCATTTTCTTTCGTTTTAAGTCTCAAAGATACAAGACTGATTCGTCAGTACTGATTCGTTTCGAGTCGAACTATCCCACGAGTCTCAAATTCTCAAGAACGGTCCGTTAGCGACTCAACTGGGTTGTCCAGCTAATCCTCGCCTAATCATTCTCAAACTCATTTTCTGAGTAGCAGCCCAGAAGAAGAGAGCCGACTCATTTGGCAATGCTGATTAAGTACAATCACCAAATGATCCTTTAGTGCCCTGTTCCCTGTTGCAGGCTGTCTGCACGAAGGTGTCTACCGGGAGAGTGGCTCACAGTGGCGTGACCCCCGACGTTCCTGTCGCATACTCAGCTGCAAGGCGGGGGTCGTCACCGAGACCGAGGAGGTCTGCTACACACCCTGCGCCAACCCTCGACCACCCAGGGACGGCCAGTGCTGCGGCATGTGCAAAGGTGAGTGGACCGAGCTTTGGGTAGAGGAAAGACGGAGTAAGGCATCGAGCTTTGGGTAGAGGAAGGATGGAGTGTGTCAAGGTGTGTGGGGCGCCGAGCTTGGGTAGAGGAAGGCCGGAGAGTGTTAAGGAGTGTGGGGCGTCGTGTAAAGGAAGCCCATTTTGAATGTGTGGAGGTCTTAGTGGGGGCCGAGCCTGAGCAGACGATGGTCTCAGAATGTGATAAGGTGTGTATAGGACCTAGCATAGGTAGAGGAAGCTCATTTTGAGTGTGCGGGTATGAGTGGGGGTGGAGCTTAAGTATATGAAGGCCAGATTGTGATAAGGTGTGTATAGGACCTAGCATAGGTAGAAGAAGCTCATTTTGAGTGTGTGAATGTATGGGTGGGGGCCGAGCTCAAGTATATGAAGGTCAGAGTGTGAAAGATTGTGACTGGGGACCGAGCGTGGGTAGAGGAAGGAAAGCTCAACTTGCTAATATGAACGGAAGTGGAAGCTTAGATGAAGGCAGTTCAGTTAGTAGAGGGACAAAATGAATGAGGTATGAGTTTGAGTAGATGGCGGTAAGTTTAAGTGTGCGAATGTGAGTGGGGGGTTGAGCTTGGTCAAAGGAAGGTATTTAGAGTGTGGGGGGACTGAGCTTAGGACGGTCACATAGAGTGTGTAAAAAGGTACGAGGGTCGCGTTTGGGTAGAGGTAGGTCGGAAGGTCACTTTAGTGTGTGGGGACTGATGGGTTTTCTTTTAAAGGGTTTAGGTTTACAAAACATTGTTTGTTAATAACATTTTAAATATTTTATAATTTTTTCCGTGAACAATTTTAATATTTCGTCGACTGTAGCAGTCATCGCACAATAAATATTATGTTTAAGTGTTATTTGTTATGGCAAGTTTAAGCTATACCTTACGCTACTAAACAGATTAAGTACCATCAGATTACATATTTTGAAACGCCATGAAAACATTTGTTACTAACTTCGATAGGAAACGTTCGCAATGGCTCCCCTAAAAAGTGAATGCTGTGTAGGTGGTTGAAATTAATTAACCGTAGAAACGTTTGCAAGTGTTTGTTTGTGGACAAAAATACAACGACCTTGCATCCAGCCCAGACACAACGCTCGGTACATTGTTGTTAACGAAACTGAAACCAAACTATGGTTAGCGCCAAAAGAGATTTCCTACTCAACAAGTGATATATGTATATCCACTTTGATGTACTATATTACTTGGGGGATTTTAGATTCAAATCATTTTATGGAAATACGCAAAAAAATTAGCGTTTTGTTTATTTGTATAAAATGTATTTCTAGACATTGCACTATGTGTTGTACTGGGTAATTGTCAGACAACTTTAACTCAAACAATTAAAAACTGTTTGTTAAATGAAAACAGTACGATACAATAAAACAGTAATAAACACGATTACCAATACCAGTCTGTGTATACTATTATAATTTCGTACTAATTATTATTTCACGGTATAACTGTTGTTGAGTATCAGTATTTCCACTATCCATACAGAACTTTTATAAGCTTTTGAATACATTTTTGCAATACAATTTAGTTTTGGATCGTAGGAAATCTGTGTGTGATGATGCATGCTCGATTTGAAGAATTAATAAAGGTGTTTAAATCAAATACTTGGAAGTCATTCCACGATTTCAGATTTTTTCACATTTGAACCATATAACTTTTCCTTGTAAAAGAATGTCATAAGTGGTAAAGTCACAAATAATTATTTCTAAAAATTAATTACATCATATCCTATAAATTTTTAATTGATGAAGATTTTTCATAGAATAATACTTCTAGTATTTTACAAGCTTTCCAGAAAATTAAGAAGTTAAAACTTAAAAAAATCTTAAATTTCTTTGTAAATCAATGTCAGAAATGGAAAAGTAATTACACCAAGAAATTTAGTGTTGCAAATAATTCTGACCAAATAAATTACATAATCACAAAACATGTTATAATTGGTTGGATATTTTCTGAATATACTCTTAGTCTTCTATAGCTATTTTATTTCCCAGAAATATAAAAGGTTTAAACTTTGACCAATCGTAAAACTAACAGTCAAAAATCGTAGTCATCAAACTAAGAGTTGTTACGAATAACGCTGGTCAATAAATTACATAATATCAAAAAATTTTATCTCTGGGGAATTTCATTGCCCTTTGGACATTGTTGACGCCTTAGGTGCTGTGACCCGTGGGCCCCCTTTTGATCAAACCCCTTCAAAACTCACACGAGAACATAGCCTTATCTGAACCTGATAAGTGAACGGCGGTTCCTTTGAAAGCCCAATTATGAGCGTGCTAATTATTTTCAATAAACCGAAAAACAACTGAACCAGTTAAAGGGATTATTGGCACTTTTGCTGTTTTTCTCATTTTTAATTTTGGTCGAGATAAAGGTGTTAACAATTTTTTTGAGGAATTTTCTCCCAAAAATGGGTTATTTTGTAAATATTTACAACGAAATCAAGAGAGTTTTTTTTTTGCAAAGAAAATGATGTTCTCCAGTAGATATTTTAATTATTGTTCCGAATATAAAAGTTAAATTTAAAATTTGACTATTATTACATTTAATTTTAAATCCACTACCAAAATAGGAAAATCGTCAATCTTATAAATGCCATGTTACAGACAATTATTTAAAATTAGTTAATTTCGGTACTTTCCTGTTATACCGACTACATCAAGTTAGGCTTGATAAACAAACATTTTAATAAAGTAAAGATTTTTTATACGTACAAATAACCTATTCTAATCTAATCCATATAGGTTGCAGAAAAAAGTATCTCAATTTTCAACCATGGACAGACATTTTTAAAGAAATTTTGTTTTGTTTATGGATTTACAAATAGGTATCCACTAGCCATATTTTTACGTTTTAATCCCTTAAAAATTGTTTAGCTATCTTTGAATATAATCCAGCAACTAAACACCATTCCCAACACTGGACAAGATACAATCCAAGCTCCTTCCTTGAAAGATTACACTCAAATACGTCATCACGTTGTAAACCATCACTCACAGCCTTCTAGATCGTCGTAATGACGTCATCCGAGAGGCGACGACGTGATTCAGTTGGCTGACTCAACAATGCTCTTAGAATCAGTAGGCAGTGGAATTCCTTTCGTCCTGCATCCTATTATGGAGTTAGCGACAGTTCTACTTTGTCTCCAACTCAATGTGTTCCGTTTTGCCATTTATATCCGTTAAATGAGTGAGGAAAATAGGAAATTGTAAAAACGGAATTAATTTATGATCAATTTCATGACTATTTTTATCTTTTAGTTCAGCCGCGTATAAAAATTTGACTCAGGAAGGAAACTTCGAGTTAGTTTGTATTGATACATTATTAATACATTATCGTAAGTTTGTAATAGACAAAAGAGCAAATAATAAGTTATACAATACAATATAAAACATCATTGACATTTCTGCATTACAAACAAACAATTCCACACTGAAAACAATTGTTGTTGATTTGTTTTACCAAAACAAGCTGACAGAAATGTCTTGGGAGATTTACAGATGAAATGCATTCAAACGAGGAAATATTAGGTATTCGTATCTTTACTACCTAATACATACGTGTATAACTGTGGGGTAGCTAGCTGGTCTAGTAGTTAGAGCACGGGACTTCGGTTCCAGAGGTCCCGGGTTCAAATCCTGCCAAATCACCAATGGATTTTATTCTAAGTGATAATGCCGCAACCCCTAGTTCCAGCCTTAAGTAATGTGAAAAACAATCCCAGGCTTGTGCCTAGCGTCTTAGCGCAACAAAAAAAAATTTAATAATTTGATAAGGAATATTATCATTTAGTAAACAACATATCATGTGTATTAAACAGTGTACTCTAAAAAAATTTCTCATCACTTGAATAATCTATTATTTTCCCCTAATACTTGAACAACGACTTAGGTTGACCTTCGAGCCGCTGGGTACAGTTATAAGACAACTTAAAGTCTCTAGTGACTGGCGGGATTTGAACCCACAACTCAAGGACCGAAGTCCCATGCTCATTGCTCAACCCATGTGACTAGTTACAGCTCGTTATAATTCATTGGGACAATATAATTAGTAAATAAAAAATATTATTTTTATTCATTATACCATTGTTTTAGATTTTTCAAATTAATCTAAAATCTTGCATATGATTGTCATAACTATACCATTTTAATTACCACTTTATTTTACCATTGTGTACAAAACCAAGCTACAATCTTTTCCAACCCCCTCCAGCTTCCCCCTTGCGAATTCCAAACGCCAGATCACCACTTTGGACATCAATTATTCATAACACACACGATGAATTATTAATGCCGGTTATTTATCGTCCGATGTTAGACCGTATTACGGTTATTACGGTGTAATGCCGTGTTTTCGCCGGCGTTCCGCGATTTATGCCGTTTTAATGTCGGTGATTAAGGACGCGGAAGTCGACGACATCTAGTCTGCCGTGGGGACGCCGTCGGATTACTACAATTATTTTTTATAATAATTCCGTCTATACGCCGGCGTCTAAAGATTGTAAATAGTGCAATACGTTTGAATCGGTGGTAGACGTGTACGGATGTTTTTGTTTTAGTGACTTTAAATTAAGTAGACTTCTCAAAATATATTTTTTTTAGTTATTTGTATGTTTTGTGTTTGAGTGGTATTGTTGACTATTTTTTCTCTTATTTTAGGTTAATATGCTTCATTTCGTGTATTGCCTTGTAGGTTACTTCCAAAATTATATACACAAGTTTAAGTCACATTTTCTTTCCAAGTAATCATTGAAGATTAAGCTCCTCATAAATTTGCCATGTATGTTTTTGCCATTGGGTGAAAAAGCACCCATTTTACCAATTTAAAATTATAAAACCTGCCATTTTTGCTAAGGAGACATAGCGACTTCAGGTTTGCACCATTGCTTATGTCTTGACAGCCCCTTCAAAATGAGGGGTCACTCAATAAGTGTTGTCGTAAAAAAAGGTCACCCCCAATCCCC